TTCACACACACCCGCTTGTTTTATAGGGAGTAAGGTGCTATATGAACTGTTCAATAGACGTGCTGCCCGAGCACGCCAAGAACGAGCTAGCTTGCACGCAACGTCTAGGGAAGGAAATGATCCTTTTGTAAAGGATTTGTGTATTTCATCAGGGGTAAATCGTATATGCACTTGTGGGTGTAATAGTAATGGTGTCTGAGCGGAAAAAACACCACTGAATACTACAGTGTTTTCGCACTGTTTATTTAGCTGCTTGTAATTTGCTAACAAATACCACTTTGTTAGGTGATATGACTAATACGTTTGAATTATTTAATCATAATCATCACAGATAGCTCTAGCTTCGTGTTTAAGAAAAAAAATCTTCTGAGCATGAAGTGTTATTGAATAGTTTCGTGTTAATTCTAGAATTTTTCAGTATACATTCCTAAAAATACTGTCATATAATGTTGAGAGAAGTTTCTCGTTATACATAAAAAGTAAAAGTTATGTGAAAGAAAATTATGCAACCAGCCTTGTATAAATGCATTATTACTATATGTGTTGTATTAATTAATATTACGAAACATGTTTTATGCAAACTTAAAGTTTTATTGGTTTACCAAAGTTTTGATTTTTATCACCACTGTGATGATCTCAAATGAAATTAACCCACTCTCTTAGAAAATCAATAACAACAACAAAAATGTATCTATCCTCAGCGTACGGAAAGGAATGATAACTGTTCTTAATTGGTGAACAATAAATAATCTTAGACAGGGTTATGTAAGTCAAAAACACAATTCATTAAAATATTCTACGAAAAAAAGTCGTGTTGTTGAAGTTTAAACGTTTGTCCTACTGATTGTCTAGAGGGAGTTTTCATGTTACGTGATGTGCATATGGCTTAAGATCTTGAAGTTTAGGAAACGAACTGAGCAGTATAAGAAGGTATAAGGTAGATGAATTTTAATTTTGTGAGTCTGTTACACTGACTGATTATTGAGTTAACTAGTTTGTTAGCTAGTTTATCTGTTACTTCAAAATTTATTATACGATCCGATATATATATGATTATATGAATTGTTTGTTTGTAAATAAGCACAAAGCTACACAATGGGCTATCTGTGCTCTGCCTACCACGGGTATCGAAACCTGGATTCTAGCGTTGTAAGTCCGAAGATATACCGCTGTGCCACTGGGGGGCAGCTCTTTATAATTCTCTTAGCCTGACGTAGGGTAGTTACCCGAAATGTCGTTTTAACATAGATAAAATCTTTTTCCGACGTTGTCACTTTATGTTATTACGAATCACACAAGCAACGTCAACTGATCTTTTATCCAACTTATCTGTTACTTCAGTTTTGTAAATTTTGAGCCTGTGTTTGTAATGAAATACTAGAGATATGACAATGTTCCGTATGGACGAAAGAGGTTAGCAAATAAATGAAATTATTGTAATTTAACATCTATTATGAATTTAGGCCTATCAGTAAGTGTCAGTTAAGAAAACTTGTAGAACTTAAAGTCGAAAAACTAAAACGTTTCGTTATCATTAAGTGAACTATAATTTGCATTATTGTTTCTTCATAAAATAATCGAAAAGAAACTATCCAACAAAAGATACCGTCACAAGTAGAAGTATTTTGGTAACAATAAAATAAAGACCTAATTTCAAAATTACAACATGTGCTCAAAGCAGGATCGAAAATTTGCTAGAAATGGTTAAACAGTGTGAAAATAATCATGAGTAAAGAGTAAAAAAATTATAAAATATCAAGAAGAAAGGGACAAAATGTTGAAAAGGGATCGAGAAGAAAGAAACAAGGAGTTAAGAGAGGAAGTACAAGGACAAGATATTATATTTTCACAAGAATTGTAAATCCAGAACATTTTGGTAAAAGACAAGATAAAAAATCTACATATTTAAAATGAAAAAACCATAGGAAGTGTGTATAAGAATAACAACAAAAGATTGAAGAAGTACAAAAGAATTATAACAACAAGATCAAAGAAGTAAAGAAAGACGATTAAAAAAGTATTTGAAAATTTACAGAAGGATAACAATGAAGTATAAAAAAGGGATCAACGTCAGGATAAAACTGAATGCTAAACTGGTGAATGTAAGGAACAAGCCATTCTCTCTGCTTTTGATCAACAATTCCAACATCAAACATAATTAACAATGTCATATGGAATAGTAGAACCCATCTGGTATACACTTGTTACCACAACTGTTTTGTCAGCTGTACCACTTTATAAAATTATGGAATTGGACAGGTCAGTTCAACAAAATCACATCCAACCGAAAAACCAACAGGTTTTATGGTTGGCATATCAGACATAGTGTGAAATAATTTCCGTGGTGAATGGATGTAGTAGTGAATAATAAGGACCAGCTTTAATAACATTAAGAAATCTTCAAACAGAGAGTCGTAACAGCTGCCAGGCTGTAGTGACTATGTTATCGACCAGATTTGAAGCGTCACATCAAAAGGATGTTTCTGAAACAAAGTTGAGGAGCAGAGATAAGGAGGAAGGACGAGACTTAAGCTAGACTTACCAAAGATATGAAAAGGTTTGCCAAATTATATCATCCAGATTCTCCATGGAAATGATGGATTCATTGGCACACGATCAATTCACAAATTTCATAGTGGATGAGGATATGCAAATTAAACTAAAGTTAAGTACATGTACGTATGGGAAGTTATTTGGTTGGTGATAGAACTTGAATCAATTAAAGTTGCAGTTAAACAACTAAACCCATCATCCAGGAATTATGGAATTGTCAGATTGTATAGTGTAGAAACATCAGACCTGTCTGATGAAGATCTAGAAGAGCTCACATTATTAATTAGACAACTGTTAACTCAGACAGGAATACAGTAAACCACTATACACAGTGCCAAGAACTACATACAAAAGCCTTTAGGAAATAGCTGTTACTATTTACTGTTACTCAAAGGATGACAGAAAAAGAAAACTGCTATTAGTGTGAAAAATAGATACTAGATTCAAGATTGTGATGATGCGATCGTTGGTCATTAAACCAGAAGATAAAACTCTGAAGTTGAGAATTTCCCATCTGCCCCAATTAAAATAAGGAGTGTATTATTGAAAGAAACCATTTTACTATCCAATAAAGTTACTGATGAGAAGATCTGCAACAAGTTGATCAATATTGATTCTACAACTTTCTAGCTATCCATTGATCAGCCTGATGTGATAATGAAAGTTAAGTTGGTGTAAACAACAAGTAGTCATGATGTTCAACCAAGAGGAAAGATAGAGATCACTTTCATTGTGAGAAGCTTCTCTGTTCAACATGAAATGTGAGTAGTTACATAAAGGAAGAGTGCATACTGGGAATAGAATTCAAACGGAAACAAAGATATGGCATTGGACTAGTTTCGGACAGTTTCACAGTGTAGGACCAGAAAATCCTTGTTCATTACACGACAGTGACAATAAGGCTGGAAGCATAAAATAATGAAAACATCGAACTGAAGTGGAACAGACCAAAATCCAGAAAAATACACCAAAGATCATCCACTATGATGGATATTTGGACAGGAGAATGGCCAACTGGTTAGCTTTAGGGAATATTTACTCAGAAGAAAGTCAACCTGATAAAGCCATCGAGGTTCTGTTCACATCAATTTTAGATTTAGAATATCATCAAGGATGAAGCCACCAGTGGGTTTCTTCAACCAATTAATCAATGAGAATTCTCACAATGACAATAAAGGACAAGGGATAATTTTATCTTCGTAACATAAGCCGCATAAAAGAAAACCATCAAAATAGATTTGGTGCTGGACAATGTGGGAATAGTAAATGAAAAATATAGATATTACTTTGTTAATCAAATTTTTTGATTGAAATATTCTGTTTCACACTTTTAATTAATGATTTGATAATGGTAATGTCTATATTTATGAGTATTAATTTTATTAATTGTCAAGAATTATCATATTGTTAACCATAGGAGTTTAACTTAACTTCAATGTTTTTCTTTGTATACTAGTATTGTTCAAGGGACACCACAATCTAGAGAGGAGAAAGTATTGTAGGCTACGTTGTTTTTAATTATACGTTTATGTTATTGGTTGTCTAGAGGGAGTTTACATGTCACGTGATGTGCACGTGGCTTACTGTTTGAAATTTTCATGAAAGTTTAGAAAACAATTTGACCGATATAAAACGCGAATTAAAGTAGATAATTTTTGATTTTGTGAGTTTCATACACTTAATGGACGATTATTGATTACTGAGCTATCATATTTGTTTCTATGTTACTTCAGTGATTTGTAGTGTGTTCTTATGACGATTTGGTTTGTTTTGTTTTGAATTTCAGGCAAAGTTACGCGAGTGCTATCTACACTTCTTGTGACGAAGTACAATAGATGTGATAAAGGTCGTACGTACTATAGAAATTATTAAGTAAATTAATTTGTTGTAATTTAGCATCTTCTGTGAAGTTAAGCCTATCAATGAGCATTAGTTACTTAAGCTAACTAGTAGAACTTATAGTCGAAGAAATAAAACGCTTTCGTTATCATTAAGCAGTCTAGACTTTGTATTTTCTATTCTCCTTTTTACCATACAATCCAAAATAACCAGCCTAATAAGAAAAAGCATTGAAACATTGTTTTGTAAAACAATATATCATTGGAAATTAAGGTATGTAAGAAATTAATATGTAATCTTTATTTAAATAATTATTCTACTCAATATAAAAAATAAACATATAAACTTCATACCTTTACAGTTAGAAAATAATAAGATTTAAAACTTGTCAATTTTTTTTTATGAATAGAAATCAACCTTTAGCCAGGACATATTTCTTCCACTGCCCATGTACTCGCTACTTGTAAAAGTCGATATATCTAAACGTAACGCAAGCTCACGTGGTTTTGAAGACACGCGCTTCCCTGTAGTTTTGATAATCAAGCGAGGGGTGGCGCAACGAGAGTGCAGAATTTGAAGTAACAGCATTGGCAGTGTCTAAGATGGCGACGTCTACGTAGGTGGGTTGCTAAATTTAAAAGACCTCGTGCTCTGTGATAAGTTAAACAACTAAATTGATGATACCATCAGCGGAATGTTACTGAGTAAGGTAAGTAGCAGCTTGCTTGCGATGGATCTAGGTCTGTATGTCACGAGTTGCACGTTTTTTAATTGGGTCAGAGACTCAAAGTCAAAGGCTTAAATGATGTGTAATAAAGTTTGTGTACAGCATGCAAAAAGTACAATTTACAAATTTGCTTTATATCGTTAGCAATTTTATAAAACCGGTTTAAAAAATGCTTCGTGTAAGAAATGTAAACATGAGACTCCACACAAAACACAAGCAAAAACCTATTATGCAATTTTAATAATGTTATATCACGTACCGGTAACACTGGACTCGGGCTCCTCTTCTCGCTGTAGGTTGTTTAGTATTCTTGTCATAACGTGTTTGATAATCGGAGCCTTGGAAACGCTATTTCAGTTAGTTTGTTGTGTAAAGATAGATGTGCTTGCTCAAATAACCAAAATATTATATATTTAATTTTGCAATGTGTAAAACATACATTGTTAGAAAATAATATGGTCTGCTCTTTTTTTTCGTTTAGTTTCGTACACAGAAAAATATTTTTTCACAGATACTAAAGAGTGAAAAGCGGGCACGGCCCTGGACGCTAAACTTTCGATCTGTTTAACCTTGTACCGTTGGCTACTGCTACAGTTTTTGAACAGAGATTGTCGCATGTCTGTGTGTGTGGGTGGGAACGCAAGCCTGGGTAACGTGCGTGCCGACTAGACTGATATTGGGTCGCACAGGGATACCGTTTGACGTCAGCAAATCCCGCGTTTGTTTTATTGATACTCGAGTATCCTAGATTCCGAAGATTGCAAAGTAGCTTTGCTAATCTGATTAATCATTAAATGTATAGCGACGCATAACACTCGGACGCTTTTTGTACATTTCAGGTGTTTGTGCGTGCAGCATTATAGCTAAGTTACATCTTAAAAAAATGATCAACACCCACCTACCCACATTCTACAGTTACAGTAAGTTCTGGGATTTCCAGGCTCATTAGGTGTTTAAGCAAAATAAAAAATGAAACAGAACATATAGGAAATACACACCATATACCAAAAAAATGACTACGATATATATTATATATGTGTTAGTATATATATGTGTACAGCTCATATTTCATTCCCAGAGCATATTTACATATTTCTGTGTATTTATAGACATGAAAGTGTACACGTAATTTGAAGATGTCACATTTATCAAACTGTGTAAAGTTCTAAATAATCACCTTGGTGTTCGGTACAGTCTCTTATACTTACTGACGTGTGCGCTAACCTCGTAACTGACCTTGAAACTTATCTGTGGTATGGATAGGATTTGTATTGGCACATTAGCGTTTTGATACGTTTCCACAGCAGAGTAATTCTGTCAGATCTTTTCAAAATATAGAATTAGTGAGCAACTAGTAAACAAAAATGTTAAAAAGAAACTTCTATCTGTTGTTGATTTTTGGAACGTCAACCACCAGGTAGGGTTTTAACTCATTAAAAAGTTTGATTATCAATAACGTTTGATCAAAGCTAGCTACTTACACAGATTATGTAGCTACTTTAATACACCGGTCCAAATGGAAGTATGCATTGTCACGAAACAAAAACTTATAAAGATTAGAGTAAACACTGATTCATCAGTTCAGTACCCTTGCTGTTATCGGTGTTTTCGATGAGAACAATGTTTCAGTGCTATATCTTTTAATGTGTAATAATTAAGAGGAAGTGGGATTTGAATCGGTCAGTAAAATTGAAATGGCCATAGCAGTGTTCTTGTTAATGACGTAACAATACTGCATATACTATCAAATAATATATGTAATCGTGAGTCAAGTTCTCAGCTTCGTCTTTGCAGTAGTTGTCTGAAATGTTTACATTCAATGTTAAGAAGCAGAAGCTCCTTGATATGTAAGCTGTCGTTTAGAAGTTACTTGATATGCATGCTATTTTTCAGTAGCAGAAGTAGATTGATTTGTAAGCTATCGTTCATGAGCTGAAACAGCTTGATTTAAAAGATATTATACAGTAGTAGTAGCAGCAGTTTTTCTGCATGTTCGTAGTGTTTTCAGTTAAGGGCAAGCTTGTTCAAGACGTAGCTTTTTTTATTAATTGTTGGGAAATAGTTTAATCTATTTGTTCAGTGTTTAGAAATACTTGATCTATTTGTTCATTGTTTAGAAATACTTGATTTATGTGACAATTTTGAAGAAGCAGCTTGATCTCTATATTCATTGTTGTGTGAACTTGATGTTTATTGTGAAAGAACATCTTTATTTACATATTCATCAATAAACAGATTGATTAATATATTCCTTGTTAAGAAACAGCTTGATCTATATGTTCACCAAGAATTAACTTGATCTATTCGCGCACTCTACACAAAGTGCAGCTTGATGTCTCCTTTTAGTGTTAAGAATCATCTTTATTTACATGTTGATATTTAAGAAAATATATTTTTTTCATTCCCAAGAAGCAACTTGATCTAAATTACTGAGAAGCAGTTTCGTGTCTGTAGCATGATTATTGTTCATTAATAAGAAGCACTTTTATGTATTTGTTCATTGTTACGATAAAGCCTGATCTTTTGTGTTTATTTTTAAAAGTAGCTTGATCTAAACTGTCATTACTGAGAGGCATGCATCTTGATGTATGTGTTTAGTGTTAAGAAGCAACTCTGTTGTTGTCTTCCTTTTTAAGAGCCATTGTGATCTTTAAGTTTTTTCTTAAGTGACTTCATCCATATTTCAATTAGTGAAAGTAGCTTGATATATATATTCATTCTTAAAGGATTCGTGTAAGAACTTGTTTTGCAGCAGAAATGTAATGTTTGGGGGTTATTTGTGAAAACGTGTCACAATTTTTTAAATGCAACTTAAATGCTAGAAAATAATGAGAAGTCCTCGATATTTTGTTACGCTTCAAATATGCATACTTTCCGAAAACACTTACTAACTTCGGCGGATAGCGTCACGAGTGTCAGTCGTATGCATAAGCCAGCTGTCATAAGGGCCACTGACTTTAGTGTGAGGATATATAGTAATAGTTTGGGGAATCCAGTGGCAAGATGTTATACTGTGTGGCTTATAGGTGCGCTAACAGAAGCAAAAATGGTTGAGGAGTTAGTTCCATTTTCCGGCGGATCCTTTAAGAAGAAAGATTTGGAAACATAACTTAAACAGAGTTAATTCACTTTAACCAAATATAATGAGCAAATTATGAGCGGGAACCAGTGTAAAATGGACTGTTATAACCAAATTATGACATGTAATGTATTAACCAGTTTGTGTTACCAAGTCGTTCTCTGTTTACTTCTTCCTTCGCCTCAAGAATATTTATACCTCTCACTCTGTGAATCTTGAGTGGAAACCCCTTCTAGAGGCTCAGATTGATAAGGTTAAATCTCAAGGTTATCATTATGTGCATCCTCGAACTACATCTCTAAAATCCAGCTTGATTCAATGCGGGATGACAACCCAAGCTCTTTACGTAGAACACCTTATATGTCGTCAGGTCACGCAATTTGCTAACTCATTAATTTAACTTTCGTGTCGAGCGGAAAACACATAATTGCAAAATATCAAAGGTTTTTTTTCTTTGTTACTGCTTTATGGCCTTTAGGTTACATTTTGAAGAAAAAGAGGTCATGTTATAATAGACTCTAAACATTACATTTCTGAAACAAAAAATCGATTTATAAATTGTTCAAGAAGTAGTTTGTTTTATATGTTTATTGTTAAGAAGTACCTTAGCGCACGTGTTTCTTCTTGGGAAATAACATATTCTCCATTTTCATTGTTAGGAAGCGACTTGATCTGTATGATTGTTGGTGTGAAAAGTTGATCTGTATGATTGTTGGTGTGAAAAGTTTATCTGTGTGTGTCTATAATTTTAGTTTCTTTCTCAGAGATGTGTTTTGATTAGGCTAGTGACTGAACTACAAGCAGTGACTTCACAGTCGGATATCAGCAGTACATATGATATTTTAAACTTGTGTATTTCGTTTTCTAAGGACATTACTAACATTATTCACACTTTACAAATGCATTAATAACGTTATGCACGCAGCACAAATGTAAAAAAAAGTGTTATGTATATTGTATAAATGCATTACTAACATTATGCACACATTACGAATACACTACTAATTTCATTATAGTTTACAAACACCTTTACTAACATTATGCATATTTTACAAATATATTTCTAACACCATGCACACTTTACAAACACATTACTACTATTATGCACGCTTTACAAATGCATTGCTAATATTATGCATATTTTACCAATACACTACAAATATTATGTGCATTTTTCAAATACATTACTATTATTATTTACTAGCCTATTCGGAGCAAAATAAAAATACATCTTTTAAATTTGTATATTCATCTTTTTATCTCACTCTATTATAATACTTTACTAGACAGAAGAGTAGTGTTTTAACTAATTTATATGATGAGCAAACTAGCTTGTTAGTGTAGCTCTTCCTTTTTTTTTTATGAAGCAGGTGTCCCGCAAGGAGGGATAGTTACAGTGCCTTGCAAAGTGCCCTGCAAAATTTGTACATTTTTTTGTCATCTGAACTTGCAATCATGAAACTGAAAAAGCTAAAAACAAACAAACTGATATAACGTAAGTAAGTTAGATTTTTAAAGAAAATTATAATATTCTCAATTGCATAAGTATTCAACTCCTTTACTACAGCAACCCTAAATCGGTTCAGTTTCGAAAGATTAGTTTGAAAGGTCACAAAATTAGTATAATAGTCTCTGTCTGTGTGAAATCATTATATTATAATTATCATTATAAGACTTTACTAGACAGAAGACTAGTGTTTTAGTTACTTTATATGATGAGCAAACTAGCTTGCTTATGTAGCACTTCATTTTTTGTGAGTAAGCGAATACATAACGTTGCAGTAAGTAACTTGTTCCGATCGGAAGTTAATATTCACTTCAATGTTTATTACAACTTACAAGGACAGAAGGTTAGGAAAGAAGTGGGCTGTAGTTTTCTCTAACCCTACACTATGTACTATTT